TCCACACCGTTTCCTGAAACTGCGAAAGTATGAATACTACGATCTTCTCTCGCCTGAAGATAGCCAGCGGGTCGCCCGCACCCCTCTACGCACACGCTATTCTCACACCGAATGTAAACCGTTCAGCCTTCCCCACGTCGTTTTCAATCCGAACTCCTTCGGCGTTTCAAAACGATACTGCCGCTGCTGGCCGAGCCTGAATTTAGGTTCGGCGTTTTGCTCCCATGCTTCAGAGTGGCGTTCTCGCCCCAGTGCGAGCCGATGATCTGGATCCGAATGTTTCCTCATCATTGTCGCCTCGCTCCTCTCGTCTTGCCGGCCTTCCCCTGGTCATACTACACCTCTCGACTCCCCAACAACATCTCCTGGTGTTGGTCCTCGAGCACCCCCCTTAGCAACCCTCCGCCGAATTCGTTTGCTATTCCTGCTCATCATTTCACTCATCCCCCACCTGCTCGCTCAATGTACCCATTTCTTTTTTCCCGATCGCGCATGACACGATGGGGTCCTTTTTGGGGCGGATGGAAAAGAAACCAGCGCAATGGGGAGGTTAGGGTGGGAGAGCTAGGACGTCAAATATGGCGCAGACACACATGGCCTGCATCTCTACCTCCTCTCCCGTGGCCTTCTCCGTCAAACGTCCCGTTCTCTCCGCGCACTGCCCTTTTACGCAAGATTGGACAACATCGATTTTCCGAATAGTTGTTGCAATCCGACTGTGTTCGGCTTTTCGAAACGTTTCCGCTGCAGCGCGAGCCGCATTTTCGGATCGGCGCTTTGTCCCTTTCGTTCTGAGCGGCGTTCTCGCCCCAACGCGGGCCAATGTTCTGAATCGCTTTTCCATCAGTGTGATCCCGTCTCATCTCCTATCAGCATTTTCCTGGTCCGCCTGCTCTCCCCGCCCCATCCGCCCAAGATCCTGTTGAAACTGTTGTTCGTTTTCGTTTTTTTCATTCCTGATCCTCCTCCTTCTTTTCCGGCTCATCCTCCTACTCATCCGCCACATCCTCGTCCAATGTACGCGACCCCTTTCTTTCTGATTGCGCATAAAACGACAACGTCGACTGTGAAGTGCTAAGGCCAGTTCGACACGCTACGGCGGATAGAAAAGAAACCCGCGCAATGGGGAGCGATGGGTCGGAAGGGAAGGATGTCAGATATGGCGCGAACGCACCTAGCTTTCCTCTCACCTCTCTCCTCCTCTTCTCTCCTCCCCCCATATCCTCTCTTTCTCTCTTTCTCTCTCTCTCTCTCACACTCCTTCCCCCTCTCCAGAGCGAGCGCTGGCCCTGGCAATTATTAGGCAGCGAGCGACCAATGGCCGGAGCGCGCAGCGGAGCGCTTACTTCACCACGTCGGCGGGGTCGGTCGGTTCGCCCGCCTCCGGGCGGTGCGAACGGCGGGCCACGCCTCCCTCCGCTTGTGCGCGGCCCAGCTTGCAGGACTCACCCCCTGGAACAAAATCGCCGAAAAAGGAAGTCTCGGGAAGGTGTCCCCCCCGCTCGGAAAGCTTGAGGTCACAATTTCTGAGATTCCAGACCAGGCGCGGCGCCTGGCCAGAAACTTGCCCAGAAGAGTGCTTCTTTGGAACATGTGTTCTTCTGGCAAGCAATGGTCGGCGCCCTTGATGCCGGAGAGAGAGAGAGAGAGAAGTGTAATAAGACAACTAGAACGCAGTGCCCACGCCCCCGACGCTCCAAGGCTTTCCTCAGCGCCTCCACACGCTCCATGAGCTCCCAAAAGGACGCATCAGGAAATCCCAGGATGCCCGAGAAAGCTTCAGGGAGCACCAGGAAGCTCCAGGAGCTACCAGGAGGCCGGAAAGGGCCCCATGCGCTCCCAGACCACAGACGCCCCCAGACGCTCCCACGCTCGCAAGCACTCCCAAGCGCCCCTAGCCGCTCTCGCAGGGACTCCCACGAGAGCCCAATCGCGCCCAGGCGCTCCCAAACGCTTCCAAGCGCTCCCATACGTTCGCACACGCTCCAGCGCCCCCGGGCGCCCCAAACCGCTACCCTGGCGCACTTCCAGGCACTCCCAGGCGCTCCCAGGCGCTCCCAAACGCTCCAGGAGCACCCGAACGCTCCCCGGGCGGTCCCTGGCGCCTCAGGCGGCTTCAAGAAGCTCCAGGAGGCGTCAGGACGTCCCAAGAAACCTCAGGAATCTACAGGAAGCACCAGATGCTAGCAGGAGGCCTGAAGCTTCAGGGATCTACAGGAAGCACCTAGGAGGATGCAGGAATCCCCAGGATTGAAACGCCAAGGGAGCCTCAGGAACCAACCAGGAGGCCCGAGGAAGCCCCAAGGGGCCTGGGGAATCACAGGAAGCTCCAAGCACCCTTGGGAGGCCCCCGGAGGCCCCAGCGAGCTCCAGAAGGCGACAGGAGACCCCAGGGACGGACGGACGGACGCTCGCACGCGCGCCGGGGCGCGGTTCTCGAGGGACGGCTCGGCGGCGCCTCAGCGCCACGCAGGCTGGGGCAGTCGTTGATCGAGTCGGCCCATCTCCTGCGAAGATATCCTGCGCGTCTGGCGGAGCCAAATTTTGCGCCCAACTCTGGCTCTGCGTGCCCATTCGCTTTGCCCACTGCACGGCTGCCGCGCGACGTTCTGCAACAAAGTCTCTGAAACCCGATGCGGCGAACCGTTTCTCGGCTTCGCGCGCCGAACACCAGATAAAATGCGCCCGCGGCTCAAGGGGGGTGGAAGCAGGCGAACTGCCGGGAGACGACGACGAGGATGCCCTGGATAGAAATAAACATGGATCGAGGTCGATTTCTACGTTTGGCTGCCAGAACGATCATTCGCAGCGTTTGCCGTTGCGTCCGCCGAGCGATGTCCTCGAGCTCGCGCGCGAGCAACCGCGTGGCCGAACCTCGCAACATCGCGGCGGATACTGTGCAATAAAACATCTTCAGGCGTGAACTCAGCGAGCGCCGCCTGTCAGTGAATTCTGCGCAGCGCCGCGAGAAACATTGCTCAGAGTTCCGAATGCGGCCGTTGATTTCCACCCCGCGGGGCCTGTCGGCCCGCCGACCTGCTGCGATATTCCACGCCGCCGCTGCATGGAGCAATAGCAGGATTCGAATCCTCGATCACAACGTTCATGCCGTTCTAGACGAGCGCGTTCCACTACTCGCAAAGCGACTACTCGCAAATGGCCTGGATCCCCCGCGGGGGATCTACGATCAACTACATCGAAGCAAACATGTTTTTTGGACATTTGCGAGTAGGCACTTTGCAAATAGTGGAACGCGCACGGTGACGTTCGGTCCACCTGATCTCCGGAAAGCATGCTTCGATATGTTGGTCTTGCCGGGGTGTAGTTTGAGGCCCACTTTGGCATGGCCTTCAGCATGGCCTCGATCTGCCCAGGCGCGCTGGAGACAAGGAGGGGACGTCGCTTGCGAAACGTAAATTTGCGAGCTGCGCGCGTTCATGGAACCCCAACTCTCGAGGGGTGGAGGCAAGGGGGGAGTCCATTCTCGGGCGCAGCCGAAGCACGGTGAGGGGTGAGACACGAACATCGCGCGCGCGCCAACCCCCAACAATCCTGTGACGGGGTGGAATGAGCGCGCGCGCTTTAAAAAAACGTTGTTGTGTTTCTCTCTCTCTCTCTCTTGCTGTTTCTTTTCCCCCCCTCGACGCCCGCCGCCGCCTCCGCCGCGGCGGCAGCTCCCCGCGCGAAAGGGCAAAGACGGCCGCCAGCGACAGCCCGAAGATCACCACGGCGAGCAGGCGAGCGCCGGCGAGCGGCGGCGAGCGGCGACCGGCGGCGAGCACGGCGAGCACGTCGAGCACGGCGAGCACGGCGAGCAGGAGCAGACCACGACGGCGGCGGCGAGCGGCGAACATCGGCAGCGAGCGGCCGCGGGGGCGAGCGGCGGCGAGCACCGCGGGGCCGGAGGCCCGACGGCCGGCGCCGCAGGGCGGGCGCCGAAGGGCCGGCGCCGAAGGGCCGAGGGGTGCGGCCACGCCGACGACGCCGACGACGACAACAACGACGCCGACGCCGACGCCGACGCAAACGCCAACGCCGACGAGGACGCCGACGAGGATAACGGCGACGACGACGACGACGATGATGACGACGACGACGACGACGACGACGACGACGACGACGACGAGGATAACGACGACGACGACGACGACGACGACGATGACGACGACGACGACGAGGATAACGACGACGACGACGACGACGACGACGACGATGACGACGACGACGACGACGACGACGACGACGACGACGACGACGGCGACGACGGCGACGGTCGCCAACACGCAGGAGTGATCCCTGGGGCAAAGGTGACCTCTGGTGCGTGGCTCTCGTGGGCCGCGAGGGAGTCAGGACCAAGCGCACAGGCCGATGCTGATGGGGGACCCCGTGGGCCCGCACTACGGTTCACTCTGGCGAAAGGTCATTCTGACGCGAAGGCCGCGCCGGCGCGAAAAATGGCCCGCCAAGGGCCCGAATGCCCGCCTGGCGAGCGATGAGACCGCGGCGGGCTTCCCCTTGTTAGGAGGCAACTCCTGGGAGGTATTCATAATAACGGCGAAGGGCCACTAAGCCCGAAAGCAGCCCTCGTGCTGCCACAAGGGGTTATTTTGCCACAGCCAACCTCGGCCACGAATGGACTCCTCGACCTGAATCTAAAACACGGGCCGAAAACAAGAGCCCCTCCCGAGCCCAAAGCGGTCCTCATCTCAACGTCTCTGTAAAGGACCATGAAACCAGAGCCCAAATTGAGCCCAGAACTGAGCCTAACGGGATCATGCCGGTTTTCGACCACGGATACACCAACGCCAACTGCTGAACTGAACCTCCCAAGCCGGGGACCTACTGACCCGGGTCATGCACAACCCGGGCCAGCCAGGCCTTGCAGGATCCTGCGAAATCCTGTGCGCCAGCCCGGGCCAGTGCAACCCTGGCTCTACCCCAGCAGCGGTACAGGGGGAGTGGGGGAGGGGGGCGGCTGCGCTTCACGCGGGCGGAGGCGCCAACTCCCGCATGAGCTCCTGCCGGGCGGTGGTCGCCGCCGCCGTCGTCGGCGCTGCAGCGCTGCGGCGCTGCGGCGGTGCAGCACCTCGTCGGCGTCGGCGTCGGAGGGCGGAGGGGCCCTGACATCCTCGCGTCGTGAATTATCTTACGGGAGAAGATTCTTGGAAAGTCTCGGCCTCCAGGGCCGTCAAAAACACCTCCGTTGGGCGCGCATTATACTGGGGGACGACACATGACGGGGTGGCGGGGGGAGAAAGGCATCCCCTTCGGACCCTCGAGGCCCCCTTGCAGACCCTGAAGGGTACCTCCAGGGGCCCCAGAGGGCCCCTTCTCTGCAGCCCCCGGTGCCACCCGCGCATCGCCCCCCACTACGCGCGACCCCACTCGGTAGGACGCGTTTCCTTGGGAAAGGGGCCCGGACCTTCGGGGATCCGGCGCTCGTGAGAGAGTGGCGGCGTCGGAAGTCTGGGATGGAGGGGGGGGAGAAGGGGGAGCAGGCAAGGAGGGTAGGCGGGAGGAGGGAGCAGGAAAGAGACGGAGAGGGGAGATCTCCTGCCTCCTCCTCCTCCTCCTCCTGCTCCTGCTCCTGCTCCTGCTCCTGCTACTGCTCCTCCTCCTCCTCCTCCTCCTCCCTCCTCCTCTCCTCCCCTCCTCCTCCTCCTCTCCTCCGCATCATCATCATCATCATCATCATCATCCATCATCATCATCATCATCAGCATCATCATCATCATCATCATCATCATCATCATCATCATCATCATCATCATCATCATCATCATCATCATCATCATCATCATCATCATCATCATCATCATCATCATCATCATCATCATCATCATCATCATCATTCATCATCATCATCATCATCATCATCATCATCATCATCATCATCATCATCATCATCATCATCATCATCATCATCATCATCATCATCATCATCATCATCATCATCATCATCATCATCATCATCATCATCATCATCATCATCATCATCATCATCATCGTCATCGTCATCATCAGCATCATCATCAAGTATCATCATCAGCATCATCAGCATCATCAGCATCATCAGCATCATCATCATCAGCAGCAGCATCATCATAAGCATCAGCATCAGCATCAGCATCAGCATCAGCATCAGCATCAGCATCATTATCATTACATCCTTCCACCTCCCCTTCCAACCTATCCACTCCGCCCATCCATCCTTATGGTCCCTCCCCTCCTCCCGCCCCCTCCTTTATCCCACCCCTGCATCCCTACCTCCCTGACTCCTCTCTCCATCAAGCACATGTTTTGCAGAGAGGGAGGGGAGGGGGGGTCGAGAACAAACCGATGACCAACCTACAACACCGACCGGCCACATCAGGGTGGGCTGTTCCCTACCCCCCGGGGGGAACCCATCGTATCGACGATCTGGCGACAGGGTGTCGAAGCCGATGGGGCCTCCAAAGGGGTGAGCGACCACCGCTCCCCCAACTTTTTGGACGCCCGGAGTGGGCACGGGAAAGATGGGAACGGTTCCCAACAACAGAAGTTGTCAAAAACCGACAGCGGCCGCTGTTGGGCAACGTGCGCAGCGACGCCGATAGCGGCCCCTGTTCAAAATGGGCAGGGTCTGCTGTCGGTTTTCGTGCCTGTTCTTTCCGTACCCATTTCGATCGTACCGAATCGTATCGACAATCTCTCGAGAGGGTGTCGAAACCGATGGGCCCCTGAAATGGGGAAACCGAAAGGTACCCATGCCGCTACTCCCCAGACCTCTACTGGGGTGCGAGCTGACAAGAACTTCGCAACAAAATCCAGCGGGGGCGACGAGGGCCGCCCAGGAAGCCCCAGAATGGAAAACGCGGCCCATGCAGCGGTGTCGGTACTGCTTCGCCCTCTGACCAGAGGGGTTATCGGCTACACGCAAGAGTGGCCCTGGGTAAGAGAGTGACCTTTGGTGCGCGGCTTTTGGGGGGGCCGCGGGGGGACCAAACTCGGGCGCGCAAGACGCTACTATCGCATCGCAATCGGTGATCGGGGGACCCCATTGTGCCCGCACCAAAGGTCACTCTGGCGAAAGGTCACTCTTACGTGTAGCCGAGGTGATCGCCCGCCGCTCACCAAAGCGTGGCTCGCCTGCCACACGAAAGGCGCCTCCTCTCGGAGCACCGCGCCATATGGGGACCCGGGCGCGCGGCGCGAGGCGCGGACAGGCCGCGCCTCGGGCCGAGGGGTGGTGCCACGGCCACCGCTCCCCCGACCGTGGCCGGTCTGCCGCACGTCTGGATGGCGAGCCCGGGGGGGCAGTGAGTCGGGAGCGGCCACGAGGGGGGTGTCCAAGAGGGGGGGGTGCAGATCATGGCCGGCGGCACGTGCGCGGCCCAGGTTGGGGGCCAGGGGCGTAAGAAAATAAGAAGAGGCGCCATGAGACCTGGGGCAATATCATGGCCCGCGCCATGATATCCACCCCCCCCTAGTCATCACCCCCCTCTTTGCCGCCCCCGAGTGAGAGGGGGCAGGTCTTCTCAGGAAGGCGCCGGGCAGGCACGCGGGCGAGCCGCCCGCGGCATCGAGCACAACCGTGCGGCGGTCGGCACCGGCGTGGAGTGCACTTGCTGCCTCGCGCGCGCGGTGCGGTTTCCCGAGGTCGGCGGTGCTTGGCGGCGCTTTGAGGGGAGGCAAGAGGAGGGGGAAAGGCTTCCTGGAAGGAGGCTGCTGCTCGGAAGGCGTCGGCCCTGCGTCTGCAGACGAGGCCTGCGCCTCCCCCCCCCTAATCACCCCCTCTGCGCGTGGCCGAGAGACAAAGAAGTGGCCCTCGAGGATGGGGCCCTCGGGACGTGGTCCCAGGCTTCACTTGCACCGCTTGAGGCCCCTGGCCCCCTCAGGGCCCGAGCCCTCGGGGCCCCAGTTTTGAGCCGCTGGGGGGGGAGTCCCCGGAGGAGGAACTAGTTTGCTATCGCTCGGACGTCCATTCCCCGTCCATGCTTCGGCTTCGCGCGTACATTTTTTGCCAGATAGTCCAAGGTGCACCTCGATGGTCCTCGCCGAGAAAGAGAGGCACACGTCCGAACGATGCCAGGCAAGTGCCCTGGCAACTGGCCAGCCAATAGCCGGCCAGGTCGCATCACAGGGTTTTCCCCCTCGTCGCCGTCCTCAGGGTCCCCATGGGAGCCCCACGATGGCCCCAGGGGAGCTCCAGGAGGGCCCAAGAGAAGCAGCCGAGGAACGAGGATCACAGTGGCAGGCCCCAGGAGGCCCACGAGGCAAGCCCAAGAGCGGAGATCCATACGCTGCAGGCCACCAGGAGGGCCCTGAAACAGCCCCAAGAGGCCCTAAGATAGCCCCCAGGGTGGCCCAAGTCAGTCCAAGACAGCTCCACCAAACCTTCGAAGGCCCCCAAAGGGGCCCAAACCACTCAACTACCAACGGTTCTTCCGTTCTGTTTGGCTGTCTCGCCAGTTCGCTCCCGACGAGCTGAGGACGCCGGAGGGCTCCGAAAGAGCCCCAAGAGGCCCACGAGGGGCCCAAGAGCGGAGATCAATGCAAGTTGCAGGCTACGAGAAGGGCCCCAAAGCAACCCCAGAGGTCCCAACATGACCTCAGGAGGCCTTCAAAAGACCTCCAAGAAGCCAAAATCCTTCATAACACAAGGAAGGTTGTGTCGACGACTTGGGTTTTATCAATGCTTCGGCGGCGGAATGGATGTCGGATGACGGAATAAACGACAACATGACCGACGGAATGTCGCAATACGACGCCGCGTCACAACGGAATTGCTCACTTAACCCGTCAAACCATGTTTGTTGCTAATGCTAGAACGCCCAGCACGCCGCTGGCAGTGCAGCGGCATTGAATGCGCAATGCATACGTATTGCGTTCGTACGTCATGCCTTTTGATATTGCATTCAACGTGCGCTGCGGCTGTCTTAGGGAGCCACGTGTGAGCCCTACCCCTGCAAGCCAGAGCTGTGAAACGCTGCAGTGGGTGCAGAATATGAGGAGGGAGGTGTGGGGTGCGCAAGTGGTCTCAGATGCTCTTCATTCGCGCGCATGGCCCCCGGACTTAGGTCGGGCATGTCTTCCTACAGGCGGACGTTGGACGAAAAATGTAAAATAGTCCAAACATGCGCAAAAAAAGCATTCAATAAATTGTCGAAAACTCGTTTCCATACTATTGTTGGACTATCTTTGAAGATTCCTCCTGTAGAGGGACGTACAGGAGGAACGTGCCCGACTTCACCCCAGACGCAGAAGATGGCGGAGAAAAATCGGCCTGATTGTCTCAAGGCGCTGGGGGCCTGGGATGCGCGCGGGACCTCGGGCAAGGCGTACGAATCGAATATGTACACGGGTCCACAGCATTCCTCCTTCCTCTCCATCCTCTGATTGCGTCCATGAGAAGAGCCCGTGCAAGGAGAGGGAAGGGGGAGGGGGAGGGGGAGGGAGACGAAGGGGGGAGGGCGAGGGGGAGGGACGAGGGCAAGGGGGGGGGTAGGGAGAAGAGTGAGGCAATTGGATCGCGATGTTCAACGATTCGCGACAACGCGCGTTGATGGGGACGCCCCACCCCCTCCTCCCGGTCCTCCTCGGCGGTGGACAAACCTCCCTTTCATAAACCTCCCCTCAGTGAAAACAGCCTGGGACCGAAACCGACGGACCTGGACCCGCAAAAATGCCGGCCGCGACGCCCTCTCGCGAACCGAAAACGGCTAATTCCTTAATCGACGTGTCAGGGTAGGTCCTTCCTTAATCCACTCCCGGCCCTCCCCACCTCTGGGAACGCCGCGATCCGCGCCAGCGCCGTCTGGGGCATGGCCAGAGGCAGCCAACTCCCAGACGGCGCCGGCACCGGCCGTGACGTCACCGCCCCCCTCCCCTTGCCCCCCCCCCCACGGTGCCCCCCTCCAGGGCTGGACCTAAACAGTGTTTTGCGTTCTCGTGTTGTGTTCGTTTTTCCTCGTTTCGTCTCGAATTCGCCTCTGCTGCAAAACGACATCGAGACGAAAACGGCCCACGAAATCGCCGAAACACCGTTTAGGTCAACCCCTGCCCCCCTCCCCCCCGCCTGGGAAAAGGCGGTCATCGCGAGACGAACAAAAAAAATAGTTCGAAACGCGACACGCGGCCTGCAAGCTCAGAGGGGAGCCTTCCCTGGAACTGGCTTTTCATCCCGAGTCGGTTTCTGACGGTCCCGGGGGCCAAGTGAGGCCCCCAGGAGCCGAAACTGGGCAAAAACCTTCTGCGCATGCTCTTTTACAACGGGAGCATGCGGGCGAGCCACCAATGCGAAGCATCCTCTGGACCTATCTATGCCTAGGCGGGCGGGGGCCGTGGCCTACCAGAATATCCCAGAACAACTACATCTGTTCTTAAACATCTGTGCCACGCTAGATACTATACACATACATTTATGCATACATACGTAATTACATACACCTGTGAATCATGAGGAGGGGCAGGATCAGGAGGAGAAGGAGGAGAAAGAGGAGGAAGAGGAGGAGGGAGGAGGAGGAGGAGGAGGAGGAGGAGGAGGAGGGAAAAGGCAGGAGGAGGATGAGGGAGACGGGAGAAAAAAATGAGGAGGGAGGAGGGAGGAGGGAGGGAGGGAGGGAGGTAGGAAGGAACGAGAAGAGGAGAAAGAAGAGGGAGGAGGAGGAGAAGGAGGAGGAGGAGGAGGAGGAGGAGGAGGAGGAGGAGGGATGAGGAGGAGGAGGGAGGAGGTGAGAGGTTCGGCGAGGTTCGGCGATGACGACGATTCACGCAGGCAAACTGGGTGAAAAGCCAATACAACAACAATAAAGTTAATAGAGTCTATGGTGCGAGACAGCGTAGCAACGTAGTGCTCTAGGCGGCCCACCCTTTCGGCCAGGGCGGCCAAAACAGCAACGCTGCGCGCACCGCAGCCACTATTAGTAGCTGCGGCAGGTGCCCAAAGCATCAGCGGCGTACGGGCGTGGGTCGCACGCTGTTGGCGAGCCGCTCCCCGTTGGGGCCCTTGCCCTGTAACAGGTAGCGGCGTTTGTAGAATCGGCTAGTGCCAGGTACAGGAAGTCCTATACATGGCTTAGCGATTAGACGCGCGCGCGTCTCGCATCGCGCAGCGCATTGGGCACAGAAAACAAGAGGCCCGTTGCGCCATAGTCTATGGGAACTATGGGCAGCATGCACTCCCATCGGAAGCCCCTGACACGGTTGTGCCAAGAGGCCTCTGCGCGTGTGTCGATTTCTACCGCAGGTGTCGCAGTAGTATTTCATGCCGCGCTTTATTATAGTGTGCCCTCTCGTGTCAATCTGCAGTGGTCTTGCACGAGTGGGCCCTTCATAGGGAACAGGGTCAGCGTCGGCGAAGTCGCACCTCGCGCAGCGCCTGAGTATCCTCAGGGCCATGCGCAGTGTGAAAACGGCAGAGCACTCTCTTGCGTGGCGAAGCGCTTCGGCATACCCATTTTTGGGATGCATCAAAGCGCCCTGTTTGGCAAACTCGTCAGCTGCTTGATTGCCCAACCACATTGCCAGAGGTATCGCATCACGAATTCTCTGACTATCGCTGCGGTGGCTGGGTATCCAGATCACATCAATGCCTTCACGCCCAACGTCGTGCACCAGGCGCCAGAATTCACGCCAGAGTTCCCCAAGGTGATTTCGAACGTGAGCACCTGAACCATCGCCACGATCCCATGCTTTCTTGAGTTCCAGGTAGTCGGTGACTATGACGATGTTTCTCGGCCCCTTGTGTCGGAGCGCTATGATCGCTGCCCACAGTTCGCCTGCCCCCGAGCACGTCCATGGAAAACGTACTGGGCCATATGCAGCCCCTAGCACCCCGCCCCGATCATCGATCATGACGGCTGCCCAGCCAGCACGCGCCAGAAGAGGATGGTGAGCTTGCTTCCCCGATCCGTCAGTGCACACCAGCCCTTCGAACCCTCCATTGGGCGGTTCGCGGAACCAGACAACACGGTCATACTGATGTGGAGGTGGGAAGCCGTAATTCGGGTCGTATGCTGGGTCAGGGAAAAGGCCCTTGCACGTAATGTACGTCATGGGGTGGTTGTCACCGTGCTCCACACGCCCTTGTGCGAGAAGCCTGCGTTCATCACCGCACCAATCTTGCCTTTCTGCTGCATGATAAAGACAACGATATAAGCGATGTGACGGGGTACCTTCTTCATGTTTACATAAGGCACACATGGGATGTGGTGCCGCCCCATGTGTGGAGGAGGAGGGGGTGGAGGAGGAGGAGGAGGAGGAGGAGGAGGAGGAGGAGGAGGAGGAGGAAGGGGGGAAGGGAGGAGGGAGGGAGGGAGGGAGGGGGAGGATAGGGAGGAGGATAAGGGAGGAGGAGGAGGAGGAGGGAGAGGAGGAGGAGGAGAGGAGGAGGGAGGGGGAGGGGAGGGAGGGAACGTAGGACGAGGAGAAAAAAAAGGAGGGAGAGAGGGAAGAGGAGGAGGAGGAGGAGGAGGAGGAGAAGGAGGAGCGAGGAGGAGGAGGAGAGGAGAAGGAGAAAGAGGAGGAGGAGGAGGAGGAGAAGGAGGAGCAGGAGGAGGAGGAGGAGGAGGAGGGGGAGAAGGAGGAGAGGAGGAAGGAGATGGAGGAGGAGGAGATGAGGAGGAGGAGAGAGAGAGGAGGAGATGGAGGAGGAGGAGGAGGAGGAGGAGGAGGAGGAGGAAGAGTGGGAGGGAGGAGGGAGGGAGGAGAAGGGGAAGAGGAGGAGGGAGGAGAGGAGGAGAGGAGGAGGAGGAGGAGGAGAAGGAGGAGGGAGGAGAGAGGAGGAGAAGGGAGGGAGGGAGGGAGGCGAATGCGGAGGAGGAGGAGGAGGAGGAAGAGGAGGTCAAGAAGGAGAATGAGGAGGAAGAAGAGGGAGGCGGGAGGAGGAGGAGGAAGAGGGAGGGAGGCCAACGGGTACAGCGCGGAGGTCCGTCCTCGACCGCTGCCGACGCCCGCTCGCGCCCCTCGCACTGCGGCAAGCGCTGGTAAACCGCGTCGGCCTGAGGCGCCGTACACCGGTCCTCCTCCCTCCTCCTCCTCCTCCTCCTCCTCTGCTCCTCCTGGTCCTCCTGCTCCTCCTCCTCCTCCTCGTCCTCATCATCAGCATCAACAACAGCATCCTCATCATCACCAACATCATCATCAACACCATCATCATCAGCATCATCAGCATCATCATCGTTATGATCATCATCATCCTAATCATCATCCTGATCATCATCACCATCATCATACATATCACCACCACTGCCACCATCACCACCATCATCAGCCGTGTCATCATCACCAGCATCCTAATCACCATCAGCATCATCAGCATAATCTGCATCATCAGCAGCAGCAGCATCAGCATCGTCAACATCAGCATCGGCATCATCATTAACATCAGTATCATCATCGGCATCATCAGCATCATCTTTGTCATCATTGACAGCAGCCGCATCATCATCACCACCATCAGCAACATCATCATCACCATCGTAAGCATCGTCATCAGCGTTGTCATCGCCATCGCCATCGTTATCACCATCGTCATCGTCCTCATGATCATCATCAGCATCGTCAGCATCAGCATCATCAGCATCATCCTTAGCATCAGCATCATCATCATCATCATCATCATCATCGTCATCATCATCCCTTCTCCTCCTCCTCCTCCTACTCCTCCTCCGTCGTCCACCACCCCGTGTTTCCTTATACTTTTCCGTCTCCAACTCCTCCTCCTCCTCCTTCTCCTCCTCCATGGCCTCTTCTTCATTCTCCCCCACGATCGATCCTCCAACTCCTCCTTAGTCTTCCCATCTCGATCCTCCTTGACCCTCCTCCTTCATTCTCCTTATTCATAACTCCTCCCTATCGCGCCCCGAGGCCGGTCGAAGGGCGGGAGGGGCGTTTCACCTGAGACTTCCTCACAAACTGCGGTCCTTAAGCTTGAACTTTCGGGAGGTTGTTGTCGAAGCCCAGTGCCAGCTGCAGGCTGTGGGCAACCTCCCCATGCCGCCTTGTCCGGCATGGGCCGGAGGCGCGTGCGGTATGATCTCTAAAATGGGAGCAACTCTGCACCAGAAGCGGAGCCCGCCCGGGCTCCCGCTCTGCACCGCCTCCATCGTGTCCCCGCCCTAACCGTGGGGGCTGGGAGGGCCGGGGCCTGGGAGTGAAAAGGACAAACAAACAAAAAAAAGTAGCCGTATCATTCAGCCTCGCCCTCACGAGGACGTGCACCAAACAATAACTACTTAAATCAACATTGCCAGTAACCTGCCCAGCATTCCAAGCCCCACCTCCAAGGCGAGAGGCGCTGGCACGACCAAAAGCACACCTACCCCGAGGGCGCGTAATGAGGGATACAGCTGTTGGCGATCCGCGTGCCATTCTATGCAAAACCAAGTGTGACACACGTGCGTGTACAATCAAGGCGAACAACAGTCGAGCTCCGCAGCGGACAGCAATCGACACTGTGAAGGCAGCAGGGCCTGCTCCCCAAAAAAGCGGAAGTGAAGAACAGGCTTCAACGATGCTTGCAATTGAAGCCTAAATCAGAGACACTGGTACAGGAGGGCACGCTTCAAAAGACACGGCTGTATGTGCCCCTCTGGCCAGCAGGGACTCCATGCAGAGGAGAGGAGGAAAGACGACGACGGCGACGACAACGACGACGAGGAGGGAGGCACACCTTGCTGGCCAGACACGCCGGATGCTAGCCCATAGAGTGCCAGATGGCATCGGTGGACAGGTGAGATTATTTCAGCAATATGCTAGGAATGCGAGGCCCCCTGTAGCCGCGAGCCACGCGACCCAGAAAGCCCGTGGAGACCCCCACAGGCACGGCCCGCACGACACAGGTGGTCGTGGGGCTGTGAGATCGTTTGCCGCTGTCAATCGTACATGTTCCCGCTGCACGTGTTGATCGCGTTCCTCGTGGGACCCCGTAGAGGTGATCTCTCCCAGCGGAAGGAGGGCGGGTGGTTTTGAACATGTGGCTGTCGCCCGAGCGCCTCGCACACTCGCTTTCAACAATTTCAAGAGGGCGGGCCGTTTTCAAAATGTGGCCCTCGCCTTAGCGCCGCGCGCACTCGTTTGTCAGAACTTGCAAGAGTTTCACGGATGGACAGCTTGTTGTTTTGGAACGGTTCAGGAGTGTCTCGGCGCACCAGTTACGTTGACTCGCCGCTCTGAAGTCGCAGGAATGGTGTTCTTGCAAGACTCGGGATCGTCAAGACGAAGCAATATACAAATTGTGGCGTTCGAGCCCCAAGAACTGTGTTGTGGTACGTTTCAGGATTTTCAAACGGTTGCCTCCCAACGGGGCACTTTCCTCAGTGAGAATGAATCCTCGACGGGGCCTATAAAGAGGGAGCTCGGAGGGAGAGTTTACTCCTTCATCGTTGGTAAGTCTTGGGTAAACACTAATCCTCCATCTCCTCCTCCTTCTCCTCCTCCTCCTCCTTTTCCTTCGTCTGGATCCTCCTTGATCATCCTCCTTCATTCCTTCTACTTGTGAATAACTCTTCCCTATCGCGCCCGAAGCCGGTCGGAAGGGCGGGCTGGCCGTTTCGCGTGAGATCCTCACCAATTATGGTCCTTAAGCTTGGAGCTTGCAACGCGTTCACGGATGGAGGGCGGGGGGTTTTGAACATGTGGCTCTCGCCTTAGCACCTCGCACATTCGTCTTCAACATTTGCAATAAGTCGGGCCATTTTCACAATGTGGCCCTCGCCTCAGCGCGGTGCACATTCGTTTTTTTTCAGAACTTGCAATGGTTTCACGGATGGACGGCGGTTGGTGTTCAAAAGGAGGCATTCGCCATGACGCCGCAGGAGTTTCACTGGTCAAGGGCGGCTCCTTTTCAAAATGTGGCTCTCGCCTTAGCGCCGCGCACATTCGTCTTCAACATTGCAAGAGTTGCACGGGCTCTCATGTTTAACGCACCAGGAGCTGTGTTGTTTTGGAGCGATTTAGGAGTGTCAGGGCGCATCTGTTATGCTGATTCGCTGGGTTGAAGTCCCAGGAATTGTTGTCTGGCTCGATTCAGGATTATCAAGACGCAACAGGAAGGTTGAACTTATGGCGTTGGAGCCCAAAGAATTGTGTTGTGGCACGCTTCAGGATTCAAACTGATGTCCCCCAAGGTGGCATTTTCCTCAGTGGAAATGAATCCTCGACGGGGCCTATGAATAGGGAGCTTGGAGGGAGCGATTATTTCAACATCGTTGATGAGTTTGCGGTTTGCACTAGTCCTCCTCCTCCTCCATCATTTCCTCCTCCTCCTCCTCCGTCTCGATCCTCCTTGATCTTCCTCCTCCATTCCTTCTCCTGTCGGCCCCGAGGCCGGTCGGAAAGCTGGTCCTCCGTTCCTTCTCCTCTTTCGCGCCCCGAGGCCGGTTGGAAGGGCGGGCTGGGTGCTTCGCCTAATTAAGACTTCCTCACCACTTGTGGTCCGTACGCTGAGAACTTGCAACCATTTTACGGAAAGCGGGTGGGTAGTTTTTAACATGTGGCTCTCGCTTTATAGCCTCGCACATTCGTCTTCAACATTTGCAAGAGGGCGGCCCATTTTCGAAATGTGGCCCTCGCCTTCGCGCCACGCGCATTCGTCTCAAACAAATGCAACAGTTTCACGGATGGGCGGCGGGTGGTTTTCAAAAGGTGGCTCTTGCCTTGACGCCGCAGGAGTTTCTCTGGTTGAGGGCGGCTCCTCGGCTTCTCATGGCTAACGCACCCAGAACTGTGGTTTTGGAACGGTTTGGGACTGTCGGGGCGCAACAGTTTGATTAGCCGGGAGTCCCAGGAATTGTGGTCTGGCTCGCTTCGTGATCGTCAAGACGCAACAGTCATGTTAAACATCAAGGCGTTGGAGCCCCAAGAACTGTGTTCTGGCACGCTCCAGGATCTTCAAGCGGTTGTCTCCCAACGGGGCACTTTCCCCAGTGGAGATGAATCCTCGCATGGGGCCTATAAAGGAGGAAGCTTGGGGGGAGGGTGTACTCCAACATCGTTGACGAGTTTGGAGTTTGCACTACTCCTCCTCCTCCTCTCCTCCTCCTCCTCCTCCTCCTCCTCCTCCTCCTCTTCCTCCTCCTCCTCCTTCTGTAACTTCTCCTCCTCCTCCTCCTCCTCCTCCTCCTCCTCCTCCTCCTCCTCCTCCTCCTGTAACTCCTCCTCCTCCTGTAACTCCTCCTCCTCCTGTAACTCTCCTCCTCCCTCTCCTCCTCCTCCTCCTCCTCCTCCTCCTCCCTCCCTCCTCCTCCTCCTCCTCTCCTGTAGCTCCTCCTCCTCCTCCAGTTCTGTGCCCTCTTCTCCCCCTTGACACTGCCACTTCCCCGCCAGAGCGAGGAGGCGGACCCGGAGCGCCGCCGTCGGCGGCGCACGTCGGCGCCGCCGGCGCGGAAGAAAACAAAAAAAAGGGCTCCGCATCGGCGATGCATCGGGCGATCCACCGACCCCCTCAACTCGGACCCCATCTTTGAGCAGGGACCGACCGTCCCGGCATTCCTATAGCCATACCACGAAATTTTCTCAGAACCCAAAAATGTTCTAAGAACAAAAACACTGTTCTTAGAACATAGTTAAACCCGATGCGTTAAAACAAAACAGTCCCAGCCAGAAATGTTCTAAGAACATTTCGTGGGAACCACAACAAGTTCTTAGAACATTGTTTGTAGGCGAGCCGGGACGCTTCGCCACTGCTTGACATCTGGGAAGCCTAGATCCCCCCCCCCCGAGAGGAGGCCGGCCCGGAGCGGCGCCTGGTCCTCGCTCACCACCGCGCGCCGCAGCAGCAGCTCCCTGGCGGCCTCGCCAGCGGCCGGCCCGCCGTCCGTCGCCTTCGTCTTCGTCGCCGCTGGCGCCGGCGCCGGCGCCGCTGGTGGCGTCGGCGGCAGCGGCGGCAGGACGAGGACGACAGGACGAGAACGACAAGGACGAGGCCGACCTGAGATGCTGGCGTCGCATCTTTCCCACAGCGGGCGTTTTCGCACGGCTTTGGACACTGGGGCCCTCTCAGATCGATCCGCCTCGAAAAGTGATGCAGAGAAGTGGAGTCCAGGGCTCTGGTGGTGAGATTTTGCGATGCTGCCATTTTCTGCGACGTCAGATCCGAGGAGAGGACGAGGGAGATTGCTATTTTCTACCATTTCCGCATAGCGGTCTTTACCCAGGAGGATTGGGGGCCCAGGCAGCGACAACGCTTGGGCGGGGTGAACTAGCGCCGGCGCACAGCCTGCGAGTACCGGCAGGGCACATGCGAGCACCGGCAAGCCCTCCCGAAAAAAAACGCACGATCGTTACCGTTACCAGGAGGGGGGGCCTCGGTAACGACCGACACGCGCCAGAGCATGAAAAACTGCCCCAGGACGACGAGGACAGGCCGAGGACGCCGAGGACGAGGCGACCAGCGGCAGCGGCGGCGAGACGAGGACGACCAGGGGGAGAGGACGAGGACGAGGAGGATGAGGACAGCGACGAGGACGCTCCAGAGTGGCGGCGGCGCCGACGCGGCGGCACTGGGCGCTTCGGCTGGCCTCGCAACACCAACACAACCACCAGGCCCAAAAACTGCTGCCCAAAGTCTGGGCCTGTGAAACCGTGAGATCCGACGATGCAACAACAATGGCAACCTCGCTAGAAAATCATCACTGGGACCCCGGACCCCACTCTTTTTGCGTCCTTGCTCGAGCCGGAGCGATCTGCGAGGGCCCCAGGGCCCGAAACTGGCCTTGAAAGCGCCAGGTGTGTGAAAAAAGCTGGCAGCGCCCTGGTCGCATGGGAACTCCCGGAGGGGCGCCACTCCGTCCCATGCAGACCACTCCTGCGTCTCGGCTCTTCGGCGCAGGGGCCCTGGATTTGGACGCCCGAAATGGGTACGGAAAGAATGGGTACATTGCCCAACAGCAGTTCCTGTTCATTCTGAACAGGACTCGCTGCCGGTGTCGCCGCGGCCCGTGTCCATTCGAGACAGGAGGCCGCCTGCCCAACAGCGGCCGCTCAAGGCTTGGGACAACATCTGTTGTTGAGCATTGTACCCATTCTTTCCGTACCCATTTCGGGCGTCCAAACTGGAGGATGCCCCGGCCCTGTGCCCGAGGCCGGCTCCTCGCCCCGAGCGCCGTCTGATTGGGGCGCGGACTCCATGGGGGGGGGGGGGGCAACGACTGGAGGGGGGAGGGGGCAGCGAGGGCTGCAGGAGAGGGTCCCGTGCTGAGTCCTTCGAGGAGCCCTTTGGGGCCCAGAAGGGGGCCTTCGGGCCCGAGAAGGGCACCTTTGAAGGGGCCCTGGGACACACAAATAAATACACACAAATAACAGGATTCCCAATTTTTTCCTATATTTTCTGGGTTTTTGTCTTCCCCCCCCAATTCCCATATTTTCCCATATGTTCCTGGGAGTCGACGACTAATTGTGTCTGCGTGTTTTTTCCCCTCCTGAACCTTTCCTCCCCCCCGATGTGTCGCGCCCCCAATGATTCACGCCCAATGGGTTCTGATGCCCACGGAGCCCAGAAACGATCACCAGATTCCGAAGTCGGCGAAATCCGCCCACGTGCCTTCAGCATGTCGTGGAGCACCCATTTTGCTGATAGCTCGACAGAGGCTTCATGAGGATCTTGAGAGCCTGGGCCGCAACAATCCCCTGAGTTGCTAGGGATTGCGGGGGAGGTCGCGGGGGCCTCCTTGGAACTCCTGGGGACACCTTGGGCCAAGGGCACTTCTAGCAACACCCCGGGTAGGCCTCAGGGGGTTGGCTCAGGTCGGGCGTGTGCCCTTACAGGCGGATGTTGGACGAAACCAAAATGTGGCGATTATACATCGGATCGCTCAATACAAAAACCAACATTGAATGATCCGCAATGTCCTTGGACGCTTCGCCAATGAACGTCGGGCCAGACTCAGATGTTTCACACATGCAGCGTCACTCTTAAGAGCCAGGTCGTTCGCAGGAGAGCGACCACGAAGATGCGTGGAAACATGTGGAGGAGGGACGATTGGAGACATAATTCGTGGGCGTAGCAGCGCCTTGCGCTGTGTACGCATTGCAGAAGGGCGCTTTGCGCGCTATGACAATCCAGCGCATTGCGCTATACGTGACATGTGCCCGCATGCATTACAATCAACAAGCAGCTGACTAAGGGATGCGGCATGGGCAACGAACAGCGCCACTGCGCGGCCCCCCAAAGGGACGGCGAGGTCTCGTGGGAATCCGCGTAGAACGTCACTCCGCTAACCCTCCCCGAACCCCACGAAATGGCGACAGTTTCGCAGATCGCAGCCCCCCAGGCGACGTCTCGGGGTGATCTGCGTAAGACGTACCTCCGGTGGCCCTGCCACAAGCCCACGAAAGTGGCGACAGTTTCGCAGATCGCAGCCCCCCAGGGGACGGCGAGCTCTCGTGGTGATCTGCGTAGGACGTACCTCCGCTGGCCCTGCAACAAGCCCAGGAAACTGGCGACAGTTTCGCAGATCGCAGCCCCCCAGGAGGCGGCGACGTCTCGTGGTGATCTGCGTAGGACGTACTTCCGCTGGGCCTCCGAGGACCACACGAAAGTGGCGACAGTTTCGCAGACCGCAGCCCCCCAGGGGACAGCCAGGTCGCGTGGTGATCTGCGTAGGGCGTACCCCCGCTGGGCCTCCCAGAAGCCCACGAAGCTGGCGACAGTTTCGCAGATCGCAGCCCCCCAGGAGGCGGCGAGCTCTCGTGGTGATCTGCGTAGGGCGTAACCCCCGCTGGGCCTCCCAGGACCCCACGAAAGTGGCGACAGTTTCGCAGACCGCAGCCCCCCAGGGGACGACGACGTCTCGTGGTGATCTGTGTAGGACGTACCTCCGCTGGGCCCCCCAGGAGCCCACGAAACTGGCGACCGTTTCGCAGATCGCAGCCCCCCAGGAGGCGACGACGTCTCGTGGTGATCTGTGTAGGACGTACCTCCGCTGGGCCCCCCAGGAGCCCACGAAACTGGCGACCGTTTCGCAGATCGCAGCCCCCCAGGAGGCGACGAAGTCTCGTGCTGACTTGCGTAGGACGTACCTCCGCTGGGCCTCCCAGATACCCACGACGCTGGAGACAGATTCGCAGATCCCAGGCCCCCCCAGGTGACGGCGAGGTCTCGTGGTGATCTGCGTAGGACGTACCTCTGCTGCCCCTCCCAGAACCCCACGAACATGGCGACGGTTTCGCAGATCGCAGCCCCCCTGGGGGCGACGGGGAGGAGAAAGGAGCGAGGAAAGAGGAGGGGGAGGAGTGAGTGAGTGAGTGATGGAGACCACAGTGCTCTATTCAAAACGAGAACCCAACCAAGGAAGGGTTGGGAAATAAGACATGTTCAAAAAAATACAAAAAAAAATACAAATACTCAAAAAATCGTCCCCAAATTATGTTCTGACTATTTTTGAATATTCCTCCTGTGGAGGGACGTGCCCGACTTCAGGATTGGCTGACCCCTTCAGCGCTGACCCCGTTTTACGTGAGCTCGGCCCCCCGCTGCCGCCAGCCGGACCGCCGCGCCTGCTCTGGCGTCCGCACCAGTACCGGCGGCGGTCGTCGTCGTCGTCGTCGTCGTCGTCGTCGTCGTCGTCGCCGTCGTCGTCGTCGTCGTCGTCGTCGTCGTCGTCGTCGTCGTCGTCGTCGTCGTCGTCGTCGTCAGCGTCGTCGTCGTCGTCGGCGTCGCAGGGCCACTTCCCCGCAACCCTCGAGCCCGCTGCCCCCCCGCTGCCGCCCGCCCGACCCGAGGAGCAGCGATGGGGGGTGACTGGCTCGGGGGGGGAATCTTCGGGGATGGACAGACCCCCCTTTAGTAAAACGTGGTTTAGTGAAAACGACCTGAGGCCCAAACCTGGCGGGCGCAAGCCTGGAAAATAACGGCCACGGGGCCCTCTCGAGAACCGAAAGCGGACAATTCACTAATCGACGTGTCACTGTTGGGGGTTCTGTCCACCCCCGAAACCTGGGCCTGGCATGAGCGATACGTCGCCGATGGATCGGGGATGGGCCCTCGACAGCCAGGTCCGCACGTTCCTGGGCGCGTCGGGCTGCCGGGCCCCTCTCGGCGACAGACGGGCGATTGGGGATCGACGAAACTCCCCCTGGGCTCCATCCCCCTAGCTTTTCATGGCTCTGGTCTTGCAGACGGGCTGCAGTGGAAGTGCACACGGATTTCTGCAAACGCCACGCCCCAAGACGGCGAGCGAAAAACACAATGAATTGCACATCGATGCTTGAGAGCCGCGTTTTTCCGACTGGACAACATCCTCCAGAAATTCACAACAAGATCCAGAACGAATTGCAGAAGAAGATCTGGGACTCTTCCCTAATTATCTTCCCGATCGAGATCCACCCTGCGAAGTTGCGGGAACAGCAAGCGACCACAACCAAATCTAGGACACACCCGGGGGGGTGTCTTGCGAATGCCAGGAATTGTCTGAACACCGAAACCAGCTTCGTCGGGATTTGTGGTCGATTTGGCGTCCCAGGAAGGCCAAATCGCCGACAACCACAACCATCGGGGGCGCGCAAACATGGATTAGCGATCCATGGCTTTGGCGCGCGGTCGCCTAATCCACGGATCGGGGGAAGGATCCTCCCCAAAATGCGGCCGGTGCCGCCCCGTTCGGCGGCGGAAATCCACGATGTCCCATGGAAACGGGACCCGTCGCTAATCCAAGCCGCCTTAGTCCATGCTTGCTATAACCTGGAAACAAAGTGCTCCTGTCGAGGTCCGTCCGGGGGTTCTCCCCCGAGGGGTCCTCCCGAAAAATCCGTTTCGTGGTGGTTGTGGTTCTTTGTTGTGCCCGAAAAGGCTGGCGACATGAAACCTTGTTGTCTGACGATCCCACAAGGCGCCACGCCTGCTCCGGCGTCCGCACCGGCACCGGCGGCGCGGCCGATGGGGGCGCCGGGCGCGCCTGCGCGCGGGACGGGCGGGCGGGAGGGCGTGTCTGTGAAGGCAGAGATCCCAGAGATCCTGGCGCCGCAGTTTGAGCGACGCTCATCATCATCATCATCATCATCATCATCATCATCATCATCATCATCATCATCATCAGCAGCAGCAGCATCATCATTATCATCACCACCACCACTACAATCATCCTCGTCCTCACCATTACCATCTATCATGAGGTCATCATCTCCACCACCACCACCACCACCATCATGATCATGATCATCATCATCATCATCATCATCAGCAGCCGTCAGCATCATCAGCAGCATCATCACCATCATCTCACGATCACCATCATCACCATCATCATCATCACCCTCACCATCAACATCACCATCATCCTCACCATCACTGCCATCATCATCACTATCAACAACATCATCATCACCATCACCAGCACCAGCACCAGCACCACCACCACCACCATCGACGTCACCATCACCATCGTCTTGGATCGCCCTCCTTGCTGCCGCTTCCTCGCGAAAGTCGCGAGCCGCTCCTTCGGGGGTCAGGACGGTGACGGCGAGCTCGGAAGGACTCGTGCTGTCGAGGTCATTACGAGCGACGATCAGAAACGGGTCTCACGTGAGATGGCGCAGCTTACGCGGGCCGCCAGGGCGGCACGGTGCACTGGAAGCGACGGAGCTCACGCACGACCTTACGGGGGCAGCCAGCTTACGCGCGAATACGCGAGCAGTCGAACCCGCTTGTTTGCGTTGCTCGTTTGTAAGCCCGCCCTCCTCCCACTCTTGTTGCATTGCAAAGGGCAAGAGGTCAAGAGGACAGCACAGCCAGCAGTGCTTACTTCGCTTCGCCTCCGTGAATCAGCGTTGTTTACACCAGACGAGATCGTCCTGTGCCTGTGGGGTTGCAGAGCCACCCCCACGACAGACACCAGTCAAAGACAAGCCCTTTAGTTAACGCACCTGAAGGAATTGAGCAGGACAGAACTGCTCAGTACATGCACAATGCTGTGTAAAAGACGCCCGGTATGGGGGTTAGGGTGGTCTCTCCTTCCTCAATGTTCCAGCGCGCGGGACACTCCTGAAACGACACAGCTTGAGAGAGTGAGGGATGCCGCAGAAAGACGGAGACTAGAGTTCTGGTCGTGCCTTCTCTCGGTGATGCAAGTTTTGTTTGCGTCGTCGGATGCCAGGGTTCCGCCAATTCCAGAATGTCGGGGGGCCGTGTTCGGACCCCTGGGCCTTCCCAAAACGATCATGGATCGGGGATGGACAGACCCCCCTTTAGTAAAACGTGGTTTAGTGAAAACGACCTGAGGCCCAAACCTGGCGGGCGCAAGCCTGGAAAATAACGGCCACGGCGCCCTCTCGAGAACCGAAAACGGACAATTCACTAATCGACGTGTCACTGTTGGGGGTTCTGTCCACCCCCGAATGGATAGGAGACTGGTCCCTGTAAAGTGGTCGCGTGATCTGGGATCCACGAGCTCACAAAGTCTTGACGTGGAAGGTCTGAGAGACAGGGGGCCTTCGAAAATCCTCGGTCTCCCAGGACCTCCCTTCGAAGATCGTCGGTGCGGTCGCGCACACGGGTTTCAGGCTAGAAATGTCTGCGGCATGGGAATACTAAGACACATCAAGGACCAGCAGAAAATAGGAAAGGGACAAATCGTGAGTCTCTGAGACCCGGCGGTTCTGAAAAATGTATCGGGCACCGCGGCCGTTCCAAAAGCGCGCCAAAACGCTCTGAGAGCGTTCTGGAACACTCTGGAACGATTCGTCCTGGCCCTTCAACCTTCCGTGAAATCAAACGCAAATCTTTCCGCAACGTCGCGGCGCCCCCTGGACCCCCAATTTCAATGTTCGCGCCCACACGTGCGACTTCGACTCTGATTCGGACCCTGCGGGCCTCGTTGCGCGCGTCGCTGCCACGGGGGTCACGGGATGGGTAATTAGGCCACGGAGAGGGGTCGTGCACAAGCTTGGACGCCCGAAGTGGGTACGGACAAAACTAGGTTTATGTCGGGCCTGTCCCCTACAGGGGGATTTTCGACGAAAAATAGAAATACCCCAAAAATGCCCCAAAAACGTCAAAAAATACTCCAAACAAAATCCCCAGACTATTTTTGGAATATGTTTTGGAGTATCTTTTATTTTTCGTCGAAAATCTCTCTGTAGGGGGACAGGCCCGACTTAAAACTGGGTACGATGCTCAACAACAAATGTTGTCCAACACCGACAGCGGCCGTTGTTGGGCAGGCGGCCTTCTGCCTCAAATGGACAATGTCCGCGGCGACACCGGCAGCAAGTCCTGTCGAAGATGAACCGGAAATGCTGTCGGTCTTCGTGCCCGCACTTTCTGTACGCACTTCGATCGTACCAGACGGGGGCCGAAGCAACCAGACGGCCAGACAGTCGCATGGTGGACAAGGCGGCATTGCGCCCTCGTTACACCAATATGGTCTGATTGTGGAAGAATGCCGACAGAGGGTTTGTTGACCCTCGCTGGGCCCCGGGGCAGCCAAAGAACTAATCAGGACCAAAATCGGTCCCTGGGAAGGGTTCCAGACCTCTGGGGAGCCATGTTGCGATAAAGTCACGACGGAGGATGCCTGTGTACCGGCGCGCACTGCGTCAAACAGAGGCAAATCCTTTCGGCCGGGGCGCCTGCCTGCCTCCGCAGCGCCCCCCGCAACATCTGATCTCGACAGTGTCTCGGCAACCTTTCGGGCGTTGGCAGAACTGGGTTTCGTAGGACCTGGTTTGGTGATGTGTACCGGGGACCGCCCCCCCCGTCCCATTCCACCAACCGGAATTGCCGTAACCCGAAACGCATCAGCTACGGCAGACCTGGTTCAGCGATTTCAATCCATATCTTGGGCTTCGGGGACGAATCACTAACCAGCTCCCCTTAACCGGGGTCCTGGCTATACCCGAACCAGGGCTGAACCTAAGCGGTGTTTTCAGTTTTCGCTTTGTCTTCGTTTTCCCTCGTTTTGTCTTCGATCAGCCTTTATACCGCAGATCGACATCGAAACGAAAACGGCCCACGAAATCGCCCAAACACCGTTTAGGTCCAGCCCTGACCCGAACCTTGGGGGATTTTTTTCCTGCGTGGCCACTACTGCGGTCCCGGCAGTCCAAAACAATGATTGAAGGACTGCGTGAAACACATTCCTTGCTGCGACCGCTTGTCGGAGCGATCGCAAGGGGAGGCCAACAACGGTGTAAATGAGGGGACTCAAGTCCAGGCATGCAACCTTGGGGGAGACCGGTCCCGGAGCCTCTCTCTCCCAGCGACTCCGAAGGGCGTGGCCTGCACAGGGTGCAGTTTGCAGCCGGCACCCGGGGGGGGCACCCCCGGGGGGCGGGCGAGGCCCTCTTCGCGAGGCTCTCCACCGCGCCCGGGGGCGAGGACAGCGTCGTGCTCCCCGGGCCCCAGCGGTGCCGATCGCAGACCACACCTCGGCGTAACCATACCCGTCTTAGTCGCCGGCTCTCTGCTGGTCACCGTGTCTTCGGAAGCTCCCGCCCAGGCCGGTGGAACGAGGGGCGGGAACTGCCCAACGAGCGGGCCGGCGCCCAGCGGCCGCATGCCTCCGCCGCGACTCTGCGACTCGGGGCCTCCATCGGCTACACGCAAGAGTTGCCCTGGGCAAGGAGGAACCTCTGGTGCGAGGGCCGCCAGGGGGGGCAGCGGGCAGTCCGGATCCAGGCCGAGCAGGCCCATGCTGGGGGGCGGCCGTAGGAGCCCGCACCAGCAGCCACTCCGGCGAAGGGTCACTCTTGCGTGCAGCCGGCTCCAGAATAGAAGCGGCAAAAAACTGCGTAATAAGCATGACGTTCTGGCGCTCCGCGCGGATCTGTTGGATCTGCGCTGGACCCCCCTGCTTGGCGCGCAGAGCTGACTACCTACCAGACCACCCCAACCCAACCCGAAGATCCGAATTTCGGGTGGGGGGGGTAAGGGTTCCACATGTGTTTTTTCGATGTTTCCCGACACCCCCCCCCCACTGGAAATCGAGGGTAAATCTGAGCCTTCGGGTTGGGTTGGGGTGGTTTGGTGGGTGGTGAAGAGCGCGCCAGGGGCTGCGCTGGAGGCGCCGCTGGGTGGGGGGGGGGCCCGCGCGGATCCGAGAAATCAGCGCGGAGCGCCAGTGGCGCATCCGACGACTGCGAGGACACCAGAAACGTAACCGTCGGAGCTCCGCACGGACTTCTTGGCTCGGCGCGCTTGAGCTCCATGCCTGACGCGCGGAGCGCGCCAGGGGCGGCGCCAAAGGCACCGCTGGTGGGACCCACCGCCGATCCCAGAAATGGGCGCGGACCCCCGCAATTGTACGTTCATGCAACTTGTTCTCTTCAACCCTTGGCCGACGCTCCAGCTTCCCGGTCTGTGGATGCTGGCGCAGCTGTGCATTCCATTCCTTCGCCGAGTTCGCTGCCTCCTTGGCGGACCAAACCAGGAAACAGAAAAAGACCTGATGAGATCAGCGCTGGGTTGCGAGGGAGTTGCTCGAACGAGACCGCCCGAGCACTGGCCCGACCAATCAGCCGTGAGACTGCCGCCTCAGGGCCGCAATCCGCCAGACCAATGCTCGGGCCTCCCCGCCAGAACCTGAAGGGACTTCGCCGACCCGAACGCTGACCAGACCACTTCTCTAATCCTGATGTATGACATGAGGCAGAACAGAGAGCAATGGACACGATCTTTCTGCGGCACTTCTCGAGCCAGGTCGATCTGTGAGGGCCCCAGGGCCCGAAACAATGCAAAATCACCCGCTGCGCAGAAAGCTGCGACGTCAGGATCTCGGGACTCCTGTGGCTTTCGGGTTATAACTCGGCTCCCCTGCGGCCGCTCGGGATGATTCGATTCTGGCCCCCCCGGAACGGCCTCGACGAGGCGCAGCTGATGAAGCCGCCCTGGGCCTCGAAGGCAGCTGGAAACTCCCAAACACTTCCCGCCAGGACGCCGCGTGCTGAACAAGATGCGACGCCAGGATCTCATGTTAGGTCGGGCATGTCCCCCTACAAGCTAAGCGGAGTTGGGACGAGAAATATAAAAACAGTCAAAGAATACTCAAAAGTATCACAGAAATTTGGAAAAATCGTCCCCAGACTGTTTCTTACTATGTTTGAACATTCCTCCTGTAGAGGGACACGCCGCACTTGAATCTCATGCCTCGCCGAGCCCCCTCCGAGGGGCGGGCGGCTGAGCGGCGGCGACCGGCGACGCGAGCGGCCGCGGCGGGGCGGCTCGCCCGCCGAGCAGGGGCGCCGACCACCCCCCAGACCGCCCCGGGCCGACCTGCGGCGGCGGCGCACCGTCGCAGGCCAGCCACGGCTGGGGGAGCCGTGTTCCCTACCCCCCCGAGGGGCCCATGGATTTCGACGCCCCTCTCGTTGGAGGCCTGGAAATTGGCAACAACACCAGCACAGGAGATTGCCCTGACATGGAAAAAATGATCCTAGATGTCGGTGCTGGCGGCAACATTTCGGCCACCTTGGAAGCCAGAATATTACCACCATCGCCGAGATCGGGATCGTCTTCCCTCGGTGGAGGCACGCCGCCGATCTTGGTGTTGGCGTCAACCTCCAGGCCTGCGATCTCGAGAGATCGTCGACGCGATGGGCTCCCCCCCAAGGGGGGAAGGGCCACGGCGCCCCCAGCTATGGCTGTAGTCGGCGTCGGGCCCGTCGGTGTCAAGGCGGGGTGGGCGCTCCAGAGCCCGGGAGGGGCCCGAGGGAGCCCGGGCGCCCCCCTTCGCCCGACGGGTGTGAAGGGGCCCTGGGACACACAAATAAAAACACACAAATAACAGGATTCCCAATGTTTTGCCATGTTTTCTGGGTGTTTGTCTTCCCCACCACTTCCCACAATTTCCCACGTTTTCTGGGGGGTCGACGATGAATTGTGTCTGTGTGTTTCTTTCCCTCCTGAAGGTGAGGTGGTCCCGGGGCCTTCGGTTTTGCGTGGGGGAGGCCCGAGAAGTCTTGCCATCGCTCGGGCGTCCACTCCACGTGGCTGCCTGGGTTTCGTGCGTCCGTCTGTTCCGCGAGAGGGTCCCGGATGCTCCTCGGTGGCCCTCGCCGGGGGAACAAAAAATGCACCCGTCCGAGCGATGCCAAGGCTCAAGAACATCGAGGAAGCAAGGTGGAGCCCGTACACCCCCAGTCCGAACTTTGGGGGTGGTCCAGGGCCTCTTCGGGTTGGGTGGGGGTGACCTGGTGAGCGATGAGCATCGTTTCACCAATCCCTATCCCCACTGGCGTGGCCTGGGCCCACTGGCCGATCTACCCCCTGTAGATGGGGGTACAGGCTGCTCCCCTTGGGTGTTGAGGGGTATACCCCAAGCTGGGGTGGTGGGATGGTGGGGTCGAGATGGGTAGAGGCATGGGGATAGGGATCGGTGGAACGACACCGAAGCGATGAGGCGCTGGGGTGGGGGGCCTCGGAGCGCACCGCCCCGCGGGCGCTCAGCAGCAGCCGCGGGGTGTGCTGCCGGAGCTTGCCGGAGAAGTGCAGCGGTCCCTCGCCGCCGCGGGGGCTCGCACGCTCGCGGTCTTCGGGCGCTGTTGTACCCAGACCCCCTCAGGCTGGAAGCTTGGACATGGGCACCAACACCAACACCAGGGGTTGCCTCCACGGAAAGAAGATGATCCTGGATTTTGGTGCTGGCGGTAATCTTTCGGCAGCCTAGAAAGCCCGAATCTTACCCCCATCACCGAGATCGGGATCGTCTTCCCTCAGTGGAAGCACACCGCCGATACTGGTGCTGGTGTCAACCTCTAGACCCCCTCAGGTCACGAAGCAACCAAGGCTGCATGTCTGCTGCTGTTTTCCATCTCCGCAGGCCTCGGGACCGTCGTCGAAGAACGACTCGGGACGAAAGGAAACAGTCCCCAGAAAAATGGTGGGCCTGTTTTCCACCACCACCACCACCATAAGTTGGAGGGGGAGGGTGCCCTCCTCCTCCTCCTCTTCGTCCTCCTCCTCTTTGTCCTCCTCCTCGTCCTCCTTCTTCCCCCCTCCAACTTATGGTGGTGGTGGTGGAAAACGCTCCCATCAAAAAAGGGCCCAGGGGTCGACGTCGGAGGTCCGGGTCGGCTCCTGTCGCTTTTTTCCCACCGCCGGGTGCCTGTGCCAGCGGCTGCGCCTCTCACCGAGAGCGCTCCCGGGGTTGCCGGGCTCCTCCCGCACGGCCGCCGGGAGAGGCGAGGCGAGTCCCGGAGACCCGGGGGCAACGTCAGGGGGAGGGGCGGCGGACCACGCTGGGCGGACGCTCCCCCCCGGACCCCATCCCCCCACACCCTCCGACGTCGGGACGAAAAGCCCCGACGGCCTGTTTTGCAGTGGAAGCCCGACCACAAGAAGCCTTCCACGAGAAGCCCAACCCTGAGAGACCCCAGGACGTCCACTCATTTTTTTGGTGTGGGGACGTCGCGGAAGCTCCGTGGCGAGACCATGGAAGCCCAAGGAGCCCAGGGCACCCTGGAGGCAAGCAGGGCACTGCTTATGGCAGGGGCCCCCACTGTATCTGTTGCCTTCGGCCTCCAGGGGCCCTCGCCGCCGCGAGGGGGGGGAGAGCCGGCGGCCCCTCTGTGGGCGGACGCTGCCCCCTTTGACCCTGCTTCGTGTCGTGAAGGAGTTTCGGGAGGAGGAGGAGCAGGCGGAGGAGGAAGAGGCTCAGGATGCGGAGGAGGAGGATCAGGATCCGGAGGAGGAGGAGGAGGAGAGGGATCAGGATCCTGAGGAGGAGGAGGAGGAGGAGCTCCAGCTCGTCTCGCGCCGTGAAGTGGAAGCCTCTGCTGTCGGCCTCCGTGGGCCTGGCCCGGCCACGGGGGCCGTCCAAAAACCACTCGGGATGAGAGGCCAGTCCCAGGGAATTGGTCGAGGCTTCGGGGGGCCCGCGCGCCCCCCCCCCCCCAAAAAAAGGCATCGGGGGTCTGGGTCACTCCGCCCCCACGTTCCCCCTCTTCCCATGCTCCCTGCCCGCCCCCCTGTTGCAGTACTCCTCCTCCTTAAGTCTTGAGCGCACGCCGCATGCCGCTGAGAAAACGGCCAGACCACCACAGTCAGAGGCGCACTGAAATGCCTGGAACAAAATCACCTGCAACTGTAGGATGAGCAAATGCCAGAATCCTTCCAAAAACCATCGGGTAATCAATGATTTGTGCCTCCCTATGACGGTGAAGGCCTCCCTGGGGACGGGCAAAATTTTTCGTACCCGTCACAAATGGGGGGACCGCATTCACGGGCCAGGCCTGTGACTTGGGCGCCACTGAGATAGAACTTGCACGTCATGCGCAAGAACACGTGGGAGGCCGTCAATGCAGCGCGAGAAAACGCACAGATTCTGTGTCCGGAGGCTCCCCTGTATAGAGCTAAAAAGGTTTCATATTAGAAGCCGGAGCCGCAGGGTGGCCCCGGAGCACGTTTCGGCGGCGGTCCAGGCTCCCCGGCGCAACTCGCCAGAACCCGCAGCGGGTCCCGAAGGTCCTTTTCTGAGCGTTTCCCAAGACGCGTGCGCTCTCTCCAGGTCCTCCCAAAAGGCTTCGCCAGGCCTTTCCACGCCATCGGGCGCCCTGCTATCCGGGTTTGGGACTTCACAAGTTTCCCAAGGCACGATCCTCCAACTGGTACGGCTCTTGAACTAGACCCCAGGAAACAAACGCGACAACGCCAGGACGCGCCCATTCGAGCCCACTCGTGACACAAGTCAAGCTCAGGCGCGGGCTGGGAAGACAGCCTCGGCACACGCTGTGATCCTCGAAAGGCAGGTTTCGGCCAAAGTGGCAACAACTGAGCTCCCTCCGAGAGGAAGTGGCAAGCGGTTTCGGCATTCCTCTGAAGATCCTCTTCAGCGGAAAAGTCCCCAACGGGGTAAAAACCTACAGCCTCCTTGGCCGCCACATCAGCGAAATGGCTATCAACGTGCAGGAATCTCTCACGCGCGCTTATATCCTCCTCGTCGATATCACGGTGGGCTGACCCTTGTTGAACGAGACGAGTCGTCCATCGAAATGGTGGCGAACTTGGACCCATTGGCCGGCATACTGCGTCTTGCCCGAAACCGATTCCGCTCCGTCCAAGAGACCATGCGTACTACGTTGTGGCACTCGGAGTACGCATGCACAAGGCCCTCGGCAAACAGGCCAGTCCACGCAAGGACCCCGAACTTTGCTTGCTTGAGGGTTCCGAGGCCACGGAGACCAGAGAGGGCACACAACAGCTTCCCAGAGTCCGAGACCATGACAGCTGCCCATTCAGCGTGCGAAAAATCCTCTTCCCCATCTTCCTACTCCTCCTCTTCCTCTTCCTCATCGTCCCCCTCCTCCTCATCATTATCCTCCTTCTCCTCCGCGTAGCTTACTTACTTACGCAGCGCCGTCGGGCGTGCCCAGCCCGCGCTGCCGCGCCGTCGCGCGCGCACGCGTCGCGGGCGGAGGCACGAGGGCATCCCAGCCCACTATGGGCCCCGAGATCCGACAGGGGGGGGCACCAGCCCGTCCTCTTTACAATCCTGAGGGCCATGGAAAGGGAGAAGAGGAAAAGAGGGATCGGCAAGGCCGCACACTGGTTGACGCAAGTCACACCGAAGACGGCGCACCTTCCACCTGGCCGCTTACACGGCGCGTATTGTCCGTAGCGCTGTAGACGTCGTATGTCCCGGGCAATCGGTAACGTAGTGTGATGTCACTAGCGTGGTCTCAATTTATGTTCTGGCAATTTTACATCATACTTTCGAATAATCAGCCTCCTGGGTACTGCCACGCGCACGCTCGGCGCGTCCATACTGTGTCGTCCGCAAGGTGCGCTCGTTGTGCGTCCCCGTTGGGGATGGGAAACCGTGGTTCTTATAATTGTCCCGTGTGATGGCGATGCCCTGGCATGGCAGTCCAGCAAGTCCGTGAACTACGTGGTACCACTTGTAACAGTAAGCCGATGGTGTAGTTGGACTTGGTTAGCCAAGATATTGTAGTTCATGTCATAAACGTTCACGTGGCTATACCGGTGTGACACCAAATCGTACTGTAGGCCATATAGTTTGGCAGCGAATGCCTCTGTTTGAGACAGCCGATTGCAAGAGGCCATGCACCAATCTTGAGCGTGACGCAGCCTCTTTTTTGGGGGGTCACATGGCATGTAACAGTTGAGCCGAAATGCTGCATCGCATGGATGGCTGTCCACCAGGATGTAAGTCCCACCGCTAGTGGCCCCGATGAATTTAGCACTGTACACATCGATGCGCTTGTCGGAAGAGATCCTTGGAAAGGTGACGCAGTGCTGATTTGTTATCGTTAACCTTGACATAATGCATGTCGCCATCTCCGTGGGCCAATGTGGTAACAAGCCGTGCCCAATTAATCCGGCACTTAAGGTCGCGCATCCAGATGCAAGCTTCGGCTAGCACGCAGCTTCCTGAACCATCGTCGACGCAATTGTACTTCACACTGGCCACGTTGCATGCGTTAAGTATGTACGTAGGCATCTTGCGAGCCGATACCTTCGTGGATGGTACTCGTCAGTCGCGCGTCCGCGTGGCATTTGCGGCATCAGACAGGCATGGTGCGTCTTCCCGTGCAATTTCTGCACGCGCGCAAAAAGTTGCCCCTGGCTTCTCGTATATCCAGCGGCGGCGTGTTTGCGGCATGTAGCTATTCTGCGCGGCCTGAAAAAAGCAGGTTACATCTCGCGATGTATACCAGCAATGAAAACTAATGTGTCTAGCTGTTTATTCCTGTTTGTGGCAGTGCAATCCAGGCATCCTCGTGTAGGCTGCGAATGAAGTCGCATAGATTGAGCGGGTGTTGGTTGAACAGCACCGCATTGAAATTGCCCGCATTGAGCCCAAGGCTGCGGGATGTCCTGCTCGACGATTCCAACGCCCTCGGTTTTCCACTCGAGTATGGTAGATGCTACAGGTAGGTCAACGTAGCATAAGGCTGCGGTTTTCTGCCGTGGGAGCCCGTCCCATTCTCGCATCAACACTCCATCCCTACCCTCGGGCAGTGTGCATCCATGGGGCTCGTCTATGTCACGTCGTGGTCGAAAATCGCCGTCTTGTCATGCTTCTGATGGCGGCCCAACAGGCCCACCTGCTACCAATCCAGAACGCACCAGTGCTGTCCGGCATGTCCTCGCCTCCGAATCCAGTAGGTTGCCCCAGGAGAAAGTCATTGGCTACGCCGAAGCTTATGACGTTCACGGGAATGCTGGAGCCTGCCTCGATAAAGGGCTGCAGATCTTAGACTCTACGCCGGCCAAAGAAGAGGCGAGGGGAGTAGCGTCCCACGGGACTTTTGAGCTGATATCCGTGGCATGTACCAATTCCTCATCAAGATGTGCTTGTTGTGGTCCTGGAAGCACTAGCTTGTAATCCTCCCAGTCGTCTTTAGCCAGTCGCATTGCCAGGTACGAGTTGATGACTGCTGATGGCTAGTGCATTGGCTTTCGTCCCGTAGTCGCCTTTATCTTCGCAATGCAGCTACTGCACCCTTGTCGATGCAATCAAATGCTAGTATGCGTTTATGAGGTAGTCGGTCACGATAGTGTCGGATGGAGGGCGTGCTTTCGCTCCCTGCGGGACAGGTGAATGAGTAGTCGAGGCATGGCATTGCTGTTCATGTAGCGTGTTCTGCACAATCCACCATGCACGTAAATGCGCGCATGGTCAGGGGCTGGCTGGTACTTTGCCACATGTACTGCTCAGGCTACCATAGGACACGGCACGTTCTCGGGAGGTGGTTGCACACCAAGAAGTCCGATTCCCTGGTCGCACATCTTGCGCCATGCCATTTACATCACATGCGCTCCTTTGTCCATCGCGCAGCTGCCTTGGTCAATATACGCAGGCAGTTTTCTGCCTCATCACTGTCCTCCTCTGCCTTTGCCGCCCGCTCTCGTGGCCGGCTGAGCGCGCGCGGCACGCGCTGATCTCGGAAACCTTCGAGACATGGGAAGTCGTCCCTGAGTCGCTCTGCCAGCTTCCTCCAATGAGTTACAGTGCATCGAGAATGTGAAGCAGTTGGCCTGGCCCACGTAGCAATAGCGTTCGTAAGTTGTATCTGGGCCGCTTCATCCTGAGGAAACAATCAAAATCCTATATGTCGACCTGGTCGAAGATGAAGTTATCCCGCACCTTGTTTGCGTGCCGGTCGCGATGGGGCGTTCCAAACTCCGACCGATAGAATGTCATGTGCGCGGAATGGATGTATGCCTTCTCGTCGAAGGTAGGCGTCGGCCATGTCTGTGCGTTCTAGGTGAGTCCAGTTAGCGCCCTGGCACATACGATTGTACCAGATCCTTGGTTTCGATGCATTGCTGCATGACTAGGGCTCAACGGAGGGAGGTGTTTGCCCGTGCTGTCTGTTGTTGTCGATAACGTACTTCTGGCACAAATGTCTTGGTAGCTCCCGATATGCCACCCAAGTGCTTGGCCTTTGCAGCGAACTCGATCGTCGCGCCCATTCCGAGAGATCTGGATGCATTATTTCCTAACGCCACCGCACACGCCCGTGCCGATTCACGAGGCGTTGGGAATGTCCACGCCTATCCTACCCGCATTCTAGTAGGACCACAAATTTGTATTCCAAACACCGCGCCATTGAGCCGGTTTGCACGCGCCCACTGCGACGTCTGTTTGCATCTATTCTGCGCCAATGAAAACGTGACACATCCCACTATTTCCTGAAACCGCATGGCGCCCATCACGGCCAGGCCAAGCCACGCAAGTTGCGAAGCCATCTCAAGCGTGCCTGCGCTCAAACCAAACCAAGCCAAACCAAACACATACTGAAGACGTCGCAAGCGAAACCAGGCCCAAACCAAGCCCAACCAAGTCCGAGCCAGGCAAACGCCAGGGGCGCCCCGAGCGAAACCGGGCCCAACCCAGGCCGTCCCAGGGACCAAGCCACGCAGATTTGGAGGATGTCTCAAGCGGGGCGCGCGGTCTATCAAGGCAAAACCAGGCCAAACTTAAGGGCGAAACAAAGCAGAATTCGAGGACGCCCCAAGCGGAATCGCCCAAACCAGGCCGCATCCACCAGCCCAGAGCAAATTCAAATGAAAGGAACGGACCACCCCTGCGCTCCCCCCGCAAGCAGAAGCCCACATCATTCTTCCGCATTGCGTTCGCGTGTTCGTTTCCCTCATCATCGGTCCTCGTCCTTCTCCCTCTCCCTCTAAACAGCGAGCCGTCCTTGATTGGCTGCTGCGCCATGAGCGTCCCCTGCGCGCAGCGGCTACATCATAGGAGTACAAGGAAAGAAGAGATGCGAGGAGGAGAGAGGAGCGAGGAGAAGCGAGGATCGAGAAGAGCAGGAATGGGGGAGGAGGGAGGAGCGAGGAAAAGAACAAAAACGAAGAGGAGGCGCCGTTCAGGGGGGGGGCTGGCACGATCAAACTAATCCGAAAGGAACTCCTCTGGAGAGGAGGGAGTTGCGGGGAGAAAGGAGGTATGTGACCTGGACTCCGGTAAGACACGCGCGAGGATGGAGGAAGAGGATGGAAGGGAGAAGAAAAGCAGGAAGAGGAGAGGGAAGTGGAAGCAAGAGGGGGATGAAAACAGAGGAGGGAGGAGGGCGGCGGAGGGAGAGTAGAGATTGATAGAGGGGGGGAGGTGGCAGCGGCGAGAGGGAGAGGCGAGAGGGTGAGCGGGAGGGGGAGGGGGGGCGGGGAGGAGAAGGGGGAGGGGGTGAGGACAGGGGATCAGGCCCCGTCGGCAAAAGACAAGAAAACTGCATAAGCATGAACCGTCGGAGGTCGGCGCGGATTTTTCTGAGGTCGGCGCCGGGGGGAGCACGGCAAGGGGAATCGCCGGAGGCACCGCCAGGGGGGGAATGGGACCCAGCGCCTCCGAAAGGTGATGCTTCTGCCGTCGCTTCTCCTCCGAAGCCTCTCTCCCCCGAGGAGCGGCCGCAGCTTTCTATGCCGCGCTCGGGGAAGCCCTGGCCGTCTCCAAGGGAGGCAAACGGGCACCCCCGGCCCGATCTGGAAGCAAGAGGGGGATGAAAAAAGAGGAGGGAGGAGGGCGGCGGAGGGAGAGTAGAGATTGATAGAGGGGGGGAGGTGGAAGCGGCGAGATGGAGAGGCGAGAGGGTGAGCGGGAGGGGGAGGGGGGGCGGGGAGGAGAAGGGGGAGGGGGTTAGGACAGGGGATCAGGCCCCGTCGGCAAGAGAGAAGAACTGCATAAAAGTATGAACCGTCGGAGGTCGGCGCGGATCTCCGAGGTCGGCGCCGGGGGGAGCACGGCAAGGGGAATCGCCGGAGGCACCGCCAGGGGGGGATGGGACCCAGCGCCTCCGAAAGGTGGTGCTTCTGCCGTCGCTTCTCCTCCGAAGCCTCTCCCCCGAGGAGCGGCCGCAGCTTTCGCGCCGCGCTCGGGGAAGCCCTGGCCGTCTCCAAGGGAGGCAAGCGAGCACCCCCAGCCCGATCTGGCCTTCCTCCCCAGAGCGGGGGGGGGGGGGGCCAAAGGGGATGGGGGTAGACCGTCCTTCTGCGAGGCGTCCGCACAGTCGGGAGCCGAGGCCCTCTGGCCCAGCCCCAGATGGGGAAGGGGGGCCAAGTGAGGGTAGAGAGGGATGCTTCCTCCTCCTCCTCCTCCTCCTCCTCCTCCTCCT